CACACACACACACACACACACACACACACTTGTACTAAAGTAGGTTTTTACAGTGTCCTTGCTTGGAACAGCACTCTGCACAGAAAGTGCCCTTCTCAAAACTGGGACAGGGATTGCATAAACTGAGTGGCTCCTACAGGATTGTCCTGCTCCTGCTGCAGAGCTCAGCACAGCTGACCACTCTGTCTACTCACTCGGCACACGGGACACTGCTGAGGTAAAGAGTATATTGCTGAAAGCGGCAAAGACCAAAACGAGTGTATTTAGAGAATCGTGCATCTGCAGGTCAAGTTGCAATTTGAGTGTCATAAAATCCAAACATTATAAATGAAACAAGCACATAAAGGTGATTGCTGGATACACAGTACTATGTACTGCACACCATAATGTACTGGGGTCAGACACTTCATTGCCTTCTGGCTTTGTAATAATGTAAAACATTCACAAACCCTAAAATTTAGACATTAATCTCATAAATACTGAGAAAATAATATTCCTCTTTTGAAAAATACCTACCTGGAGATGCAGTTTGAAAGTCCTGGCAACAGTCTGCAGTGGTCACAGTAGTATAATCGGTCAGATCTACTAATTCATGATGGATCCTGGCCGATGCATCTCAGACCCCCATTAGGACAACCCACTTGGCATACGAGAAATAAATATGCTTGAAGAGAAAAATCAGTGACACACAGTGTTTATAGGAAATGACATCACAACTCCACCCAACACAGCAACAAATTTAAAAAGTTTAATGTACTATGCAATACTTTGAATGACTTTGAAAAAAGGCCAGTCGCTGTTATTCACTCGGGTTGCGTAAAGTAGGACTATTGTCCTGTCAGACTTCTTATCGTTAAACTCAGATTTCCAATTTGCTGCTACAGCGAGAGAAGAAGGAAGGGGTAATGTGTGGACATGAAATATTGGTTATAATCACAACCCCACAACTTTAAGACTCGCCCTGCACTGAAACAGGAAACGTAATGAAAAACAAAGACATGACAGCGTGGCTCATTTTTCTTCTTTTCTTGACTCTAACTTCCTCTATATGTATCCATAAAACTCCAGAGCTCTCAGAGGTATGACCTCATTTATTTGCTGCTTGAGTAAACAGAGAGACAGCTCTCACAGAGTACAGCACCAGGCCAAATAAGTATTATTATCGTTGCAATGCATGTCATAAAAAACACACATTAGAGAACTAAAAGATTTTCAAAATAATATGTTTTATTTTCTAAAGAATGCTTCTCAGACCAAAAGGTCAGATTCACAATGAAATAAGAGGAAATGATATCCATTTGGGAACAAGAGCAGATTTCAGTCAGTTACAATTTCTCCAGTTAGTTTATGATTTTATTCACTCTTCTTTGCAGAATTGTTTTAATTCTTACACATTGGAGTTTTTTTAGCATAAAAAATCCATTTAAAATTAAACTAATGTGCTCTTGGAGGTCATTTTTTGTAGGTCGGCCACAATCCAGGTAGGCTTGGATATCTTTTTTCTCGTAATAAAGTAAATCATCATTTAAAAACAGCATTTTGTGTTTATTCCGGTTATCTTTGTCTAATATTAAATTGGTTTCGTGTGAAAGATCTAAGTGTGATAAATATGCAAAAAAATAAGAAATCACAAAGGAGGAAAGTACTTTGCTCTGATCATTTTAATAAATTATTAATAAATTATTTTCATAGTGATTTTTATATTACTCTACTTATTAGGATAGTAATTGTGAAATAAACAACATCTCAATGTTGCCCCCCTGTAAAAACCCGACTGGTCATCATTTCCGGTTTTGACATGTGCTCTGTAAATATACTGACTTGACTCAACCTGTCTAACGTCAGCATGGAGAAACCCATGAAACAGGTTTTGCTTGTTATGGTCATTCATCCTGTCCATGCCAACCGGTTATTACTTCATTATATTTGTCTCCATTTCACAACAGGGAACAAAATCTGCTTTACTCAGTTTGTGCTAAAATATATTATATTCAAAGGTTTATTTGCAGTTCACAAAATATTGAAACAGCCCAGTTTTAAATGGCTCACAACAGTAAGGATGCTGAATACTGTTAGAAAATGTATCGTTATCCATGCATGTCCACCAGAGGAAGCAAGCAATGATACACAGCTCTGTACTGGATTGCTAAACCAGCACACTTGACAGAATTTAACATGTTAAATGCTTGTTAGACACAAACTAGTACCAGCTTAAAAAGCAGATTTGCTGTTTAAAAAAGAATTTGATGTAGAAACACATGCACATGGATTTTATCTTACCTTAATTTTGTTTCATAATTTACCCCCCCACCACCTCTTTAATTCACATTTCAATATGAGAGCAAATTATGCATAGATTCAAACTGGGGTCATCCATCACAACTAAAGCACTGCTGTGGGATATGCATTGCCTCATGGTAAGTAAATGTTCTTTGTAAATCCTATAAAAATACATATATTAACATTACCTATAAAAAAATGACAAGAAATGGGTTAAAACGGCTATTGGTTGATAAAAGTGGCTCACATGCCAATGCTGAAAGTAAACAAGGCTTGCACTGTTCACCTAGAAAACAAGAACGTGATACACAGCAAGCAGACTTCATGGGATATAAATAAGAGTGCAGAGATTTATAGTTCATAGACATAATCTCCTTATGTTCTCATTTAATATGATTCTTGCTGCTCTACTGAGCAGCTGTAGAGCTGGGACCAAATCTTATCACTGAATCGTATCCCTTCACTGAACCAAATTAAGATCTATCTTGCGAGGTAACTGTAACTAACCCTCAGAGCCACTGCTGTCCTTTTGTCTAAGATCTGTGGGAGTTTAGAGGGTTTAGAATATGTTCCTGGACTTTCAGTAAGCTCTTCTTTCTTGTTTGACTAAATCTGTATTATTTCAAAAATGCTAACTACGCCGCACTAATCTTTCGGGTTGCTTGACTTGGGTACAGGTGGAACTGAAAAGTTCATTAACCGAGCTTCTTGTTTCCCCATCACAAATATTTATTAGGATACAATTTAATTACTGATCACTTTGCCTGAAAGCTATATTAATGGAGCTCTGTATTAATGTGAACTAATGATGAAAAATCACCTGTCCCTATTATCCATTTAATAATTTGTCTCCATCATTTAAAGCAGTGCCTCACCACCTCTCACTTTCAGCCAATGTTACTGTATGCATACATTAAAAAAAAGATATTTTACATACAGTATTCAAAGTATTTACTGAGGTGCATCTGTTAGTATTTGTCAGCTGTGAACTTTAAAAGGTTAAACCTGAACTCGCTGCAAAGCTGTTGGTCCACATTTTTCATCTATAATAATTCATACATTTACAGCTTAGGAGCTCAACTTATTTCCTCTAATCTGGGAGGTGAGTATTTAGCCACAGTTGAAGACTGAGGGTCACAGGAGGAGGAAAGCACCAGCTTGGTTGTAGAACAGGTAGGAAAATACACCTTTTCAGGTAACAGGGGTAAAGTCTGAGCTTCTGTAGGGTAAAAAAACAACAAAAAAACAAACAAACCAAAATGATCTTTCTAATGGACCTCCAGATGATGCTGCTAGATGTCATTTACTTCATCCTGAGAAATTCTTTGCGGGTTATCTTGCCTCCATGCACCAAGCCCATTGATGGCGAGCTGGTGCTCATAACCGGATCAGGCGGTGGCCTGGGCCGTCTCTTTGCTCTGGAATTCACCAAGCATGGGGCAGAAGTGGTGCTGTGGGACATTAATAGCAATTCCAATGAGCAGACAGCCAAGCTGGTGCATGAGATGGGGGGGAAAGGCATACACCTACGCAGTGGACTTAACCAGCCGGGAAGACGTGTACCGCAACGCAGAGCTTATGAGAAAGGACCTCGGCCGGGACGTTACAATACTAGTGAACAATGCTGGAGTGGTGGCTGGGAAGCGCATCCTAGACTGTCCTGATGAGCTGATTGAGAGGACTATGAAAGTCAACTGTCATGCTCTGTTCTGGGTGAGAACTCAATGTTTAAAATCAAATGTATAGAAGACATTTCCCCAGTCACATCTGAAGCAATGAAGCTTCTTATTTGGGTGGTTTAACAGTCCAGATTTACTTCATCTTTCCAACTTTCTTGTTAGCTGGATATACTTGTAGATGCCAGTGTATCACAAAATTTTAGATGCTAAGCTTTGGGGCTTACCATAGCTTCTTTTCTTTTCTTTTTTCTAACTTGATTATCCAGAGCAATACTGTGTTTTTTATGAGTATGGTCAAAAGAAAATGTGTTCCTGTCTAAATATGCAACTATCATTGCAAACTACTGATCAGAAATCAATCAAGGTCACTAACCACGCAGAAGATAAATGCTGAAAGTTAATCAGCTGTGAAAATGCCAAACGCTGGAACAAAAGGCAGAACGGTTTAGCAGCACATCACAGACAATATGCATTACACAATCAAATCATAGCACATCTTTGGCCAGTAACTTTTACCGACTAAGAATCAGAGAGCAGGAATTCTTTCTTTTGGATTTCATACTGGATAATCTTTTTACAGTCGGCTGTACACAGAGCATGTTATTGTGCAAACGCTGAGGGACACTTGAAATGTAAAATTGCTTTGCGTCAAGAGCATTATCCCATTCACCCTATGGACTAGCAACTTTGACGTCAATCCTCTTATTAACGAGGTGCTTGTGCAACGTAAGCTACACACAATAACCTACACATCGAACAGTATTTAAGTCACATTTAACAACACTGCACAGTTTGTTGCCTCATTCCATTTTGCTGCTATGACAATGCATGTTTGTCTGGTTGTTCCGATGTGTGGGCCTCAGACAGTGAAGGCCCCCAAATGAAGGCCCAGAATCACGGACACATCCTGACCATTGCCAGCGTCCTCGGCCTCTTCAGCACAGCTTGTGTGGAGATGAGCCAATGCAGGAGAAATACCGCTACAATAAGTCTATATGAGAATATAACTAATAAGAATATGGCAGCTTTATTATTGTGTTTTACACTGTTCTCTCACAAAGTCCCAAAATCAAGTAACACATTAAAATGCATATAACGGCACTGGCAGTCAAAGCAGGGCTGGCAAATCACAAATAATGAATATTCAGCATCTTTAAAAGCAGCGTGAATAAGCTCTGATGGATAGATTTTCTTTGTGGTAGGATTACTGTGCCAGCAAGTTTGCTGCAGTGGGCTTCCATGAGTCTCTGGCCCACGAGCTGCTGTCTGAGGAGGTAGAAGGAGTGAAGACAACCCTTGTGTGTCCCTACATCGTGGACACGGGCATGTTTGAAGGCTGCAAGATAAGGTATGCCAACATAATAATCATATACAGTTAAAGTCCAAAAACTATGGTGAGTGAAACAATTTTCATAAATTTGGCTCTCTTTCATGAAACAGTGACGATGTGACAAGAGTGCAGACTCAACCTTAAATCAAGGCATTTAACTAAAACATTGCATTAACTGTTGAGGAATTACTGCCATTTTTATCCAGAGTCCCCTATTTTCTGTTAATTGGAAATATCACTGAAGACAACAAGGCTATTTTTCTGTAATTATTTATTTCTTTTCCTTTTTTCCCATTAATTAGATGGTAAAAGGTCTAGCGTTGACTCTCGAGGTAGTATTTTGAATCTAGAAGCTATATATGTGAACAAGTAAAAGAGAAATAAAAACAAAACAAAAATCCATCACAGGCCAACTCAACAGTTTGGTACACTCAGGAACATTAAAATAAGATAAAACACACACAGGTTTATTTTTTTAGGTTTATCTCTATCCATCTGTGTAGAAGACTACAACAAAGAGAAAATATAGAGTTCCCTAGAAAGTATGAACAATTCATCACCCTCAGCAAGAGCTAAATTTTGATCTAATTATTAGTTACTGTTAATCTCAAAGCATGTCTGTGTACTGTCTTCATCCACTCACCCCCAACCGGCCGCGGCACTCGCTGATCCTGGTTCTGCTGGAGGTTTCTTCCTGTTAAAAGGGAGTTTTTCCTTCCCATTGTTGCCAAAGTGCTTGCTCATAGGAGACCATATAATTGTTGGGGTTTTCCCTGTTTTCTTTGTATTACTGTAAGGTCTTTACCTTAGAATATAAAGGTAAAGGGTGTTGTGATTTGGTGCTATATAAATAAAACGGAACTCATTTGAACTGAAAATTGAATTGAACTGAGAATTTAATTGGTTATTAAAAATTAAAGGTCTGTATTTCAGTTGTAGCTTGCCATGTAAAAAAATTATGAAAACTGTGTCACTGACAATCCTAACATGTTTACTCCTAACTCTAAATTTCTTTTGAGTGTCATAGTTTAGACACAAACAAGGAGAGTTTAGTCTGTAGACCTGAATATACCTCACTCACATACACATACAGACTGATCATTCTTTGAGGGTCCATCATAGAAATAAATCCAATTTTGCTCTTAACAGGACAAAAAAATGTCCTCAAATACTCAATGACACAAGCTATGTATGAGTCTATTGCTAATGTTTCATGTTGCTTGACATTTTAAATGTTCCTTGATGTTAGGGAGGAAGTGGAACTGCTCCTGCCCCCTCTGGAGCCCCAGTATTGTGTTGAGCAGGCTATGAACGCCATCCTGGTAAACCAGCCATTAGTGTGTATCCCTCGCCTCACCTACCTGCCTATTCTTTTCAGGGCGTGAGTCTCACAACCTTCACATTTTCCAGATACTAAATAAAGATGAATGCTTTCCGAAAATGTCCTTTTCTATCCATTTTCAACAGCTGATTACAGTATTTAAGCTTCTACTGTCTTTGTTCTTTTTCAGGTTGTTGCCATGGGAATCTAACGTGACCGCTTATCGCTTCATGGGTTCTGACAAGTGCATGTACCCCTTTATTGAAACCACGAAAAAACAAGTGACAAATGGCTCTGTTGCAGTCGCCTAGTCATACATTTTTACACAAAGAAACAACTTTAGGAGTACAAATGTTAACAATACCTTCAAAGGTATTTCAAAGGGTCCACAATACATCAGACAGGACAAAAAAAAAGAAAGAAAAAAATGTGGGTTTTGTGAACAACAGGCCAAATTGTCCATCTGCTGCCATGAGTCAGTCAAATGGATATAATAAAACAGACTTTACATTTTCAGGCTGATCATTTGGAAGTCTGTACTGGATGACAACTCAGCCAAGTAGTCATCAGCCTCCAAGAAGATTTCAATAATGCTCATATGAAATGTAAAGTGCCCTTGAAATGTTTTCACCATAAATCTGTGAAATGCCCAAACAGTGATTAAATCCTACACTGATCCAAATGGGAAAGCTTCTTTAATAGCTGTTATGCAATCCTCTATACTCTGTTATATTCACATATAATAAAATGACCTAAAACAACACCTACAAATGCTGTTAGAACACAGCAAGCGACGCGTCTGGTGCATTGTTTTCCTGTAAAGATCATAAACTGTAAGCAAGCAAAAGTAAGTAACACTGCAAAAGGGGAATTTTATTAATCTTTCTCTATGTAGACCAAGAATAATAACCTTAATAATAATGCATCTAGTATTTATGATGTATGACTTACATATAAAAATATGTAATCAGAATCAGAATTGTCAGAATAAGAACTGTCCCTTCTAGAAAAAAGATGCTTAGCTCCACTGACTGAATGCTAATATGGACTTTTGAGTGGAAAATTCTGGACAAACTGCACTTGCAGATCATGCATGTATGAGTGCACGTGTAGTTTACGTAGTAGAAGAAGGCTAAAAAGTATTGCTAATCTCACAAGACAGAAGTGACACTTCTGTCTTGTGAGATTAGCAATACTAATCACAGTCACTGGACAAACATTCTCTAATTTTATGCAAGTGAACGAGTATGACTAACGATGAAACATTTCCTGCAGCACAATGTGGTGTTGTAAATGTCTCCGGTCATAATTCCCAGAATGAGCTCTTGTTTGTGCACTCAAGGAAGAACAACTGAAAAGTCTTGGATGAGAAGATTCAGATCATACACATTTGTTTTTATGAAGCAAATATTTGGTTATAACGCAACAAACAATTAATAGGACTGTTAAAGTAAATACTGTAAAACGAACCCTGAATTCAATTAGCAGAATCAATATTTATTCAGATATAGATTTACTGTAATGATACCTTCAACCACTGAATCGGACATTAAAGATGCAATAAAAGCAATTTTAAGTATTTTCTATAAAAATGTTAGCAAGCTACCTTGAATATGGTTATGAAAGAGGGGGCGAAACTTTAATTACAGAATAGGTTTTCAAAGCCACTACCTGAGTGACATGCTGTTAGTACTGTGTTGGTACCCTGTTTATGTCTTAAGAACCACCCTCACTTTTTATGGCACAAATTAAATTCAACAAGGTGCTGGAAACATGGATTTTGGTCCATATTGGCATGTTTGCATCACACAGTTGGTGCAGATTTGTCAGCTGCACGTCCATGATGCCAATCTCCAGATCCACCGAATCCCAAAGGTTAAACAATGCTCAAGGGCCCAAAGTGTGCCAAGAATAATTCCCCACAGCTTTACAACAGCAACATACTGAACTGTTAACACATGACAGGGTTGATCTACGCGTTCATGTCATTTACTTCAAATTCTCACCCCACCATGTGAATACTGCAGCAGAAATCGAGGCTCATCAGACCTGCAATGTTTTTCCAATTTTCTATTGTCCAATATTTGTGAGCCCATGTTTATTGTAACCTCAGTTTCCTGCTCATAGTGTCTTAGTCTTCTGTTGTCGTAGCCCATCTGCTTCAGTGCTCCATGTGCTGTGTATTCAGAGGTGTCTTTGACGCATGCAGAGCGATCCAGCGTTTTCAATGGAGCAAATGTTTCATCAGTCATCCAAGTGACTTCTTCAGTCTCAGGAGCGTACAGGTTGCCGAGAACTTATTTGCACAAGCTTAGTTTCTTGATTTGCATATTAACAATCATGAAACTAAGCCCATGGCTCATTGTTATGCAATGGTGCTAGTTTTGGTCATCATGCAAATGCACTGTTTATAAGGTTTGGGAAACCTGCAGTCAGCTGGGACTCAAGATGTCATTTGGATGAGTGATTAAACGCTCCTCTGACTGAAAACGCTCTGTTGTCATGAACAGAATCAACTTTCAGGCAATATGTTCAGACGTGATCATCTGCATGTGGTTATTTGAGTTACTTCCGCTGGCCTATCAGCTCCGAGAAGTCTGGCCATTTTCACCTGACCTCTGGTATCAAAAAGGCTTTTTCACCCAGAAAACTGCCCCTTACTGGATATTTTCTCTTTTTCAGTAAACAACTTGCTACGAAATAGTTATTTGCTGCAGATGCTGTTGACAGTATCATAAACAGTTGAATATTGAGTCAATTTTATGTTCTACCTAAATAAACTGTCCAATCAGGGCATATTAGACAATATATACCCCCTTGATACCAGTTTATGAAATGTTCACTCCATGCGTGCTTGCTGCAGGGGCTTTATTTACATTTTTTTAAACATCAAAAAAAAATGAATCACCAAAATATGCAATCTGCCCAGAGATTCACAAGATTTAGCATATGTGAAGGAGATTAAAGAGTTACTATATCTGTAACAACTCTTAAATTGGCCAACATCAGTGCAAAATCATAATTGAGCACACCTCTATACATTACAAAGAAAGAGACAAAATGGCAAATCTTAGTTTTGTGCATGTAAGCACATTTAATTACCATGGGGAGCAGAAAGAGTAGGGAGAGTTTGACATAAGGGAGGAAAAGGGATTTTCAAGGAAACTGGTGCAACAGGGAAACATCCCTGCCACACACAGATTCGACAAGATCACATTACAACACGCTACATTTAGTCACAGATTCTTCCCAGCCCTACATGGTAATGTTGATAACACTTCACTTGTGGTTGTTGATATAAAGCACTCTAGGAAAATCAGAGGTTCGCCAGCTGCACCCTAGACAAAGATCTAAACCATATTGAGAATATTCTTTAATGAACTACCTCTGCAGGGGACAAAACGTAAAACACTTAAAAACAAGAGTTAGCAGTTCTCACAAAGAGTAAACAAGTTCTATGCAAAATAAAGAGTTCACAGTAAATCACTTCTTCCTTTTTCTCCTCCCCTTATCAAGCACCCCTCCTCCCAATTGATTGGCTAGGATGCAGCTACTTTTTTTTTTCCTACAAAGCAACAGAAAAATAATGTGTACAATTAAACAACATCAAGGAGGATAGTCTATTTTTCCTATTAATCTTGTTTAACTGTGAACATTTTGTAACGGTGAATATGAACAGTGATGGTTTAGAGTCTACAGAGTCCAAAGTTTCCTGTAGCCTTCTAAATCTGACTAAGAACACAGTGTCTGAGTTTTCTCTAGTGCTTTTACAACCAAACCTCATAATCTAAACAGTGCCATCCAGAGTCTGTGCCAATGTGCTTGAGTTAGCCTGTTTGATGTGCAAGTCCCCTTCAATTTCTTGTTTGCCACACCTGCGGAAAATAAAAAAATGATTAACTTAGCTGAGCTCTCACATAACACTCTTTTTTTTGTCTCCATACACAAGTGTTTATTGAAGTGGAATATATTCACTTCATTTTTAAAAATAACATGGAAGAATTTACATGTGACAATTCTGTTGTGTTTACAGAGCCCCGCATCATTTAACATCTAACAAGATGTGGCGTTTACTTCTTTCTACACCCCTTATAAGCTCAGTAACACAATAAAAGACAGAAACCTCTTTGTGACTTGCATTTGCTGCACAACTAGCAGTTGCGGCACCACTTTCGATCAGAGGGTATCGGCACAGGTTGCCTGATGAGAGGCAACCTGTCTCCAAAAATTTGTGGTGTGATTTTGACTGTGGTCACTCTCAGAGAGATGTATTATTTGTTATTTGTCACCAAAGCCTAATTTAAAAACATAGAAAGATTGCTAACATGTTGCAATCAGAGTCAGTCTGCACCGACTGGACTTAACTACTTGCCAGTTGGTGTATTCTGGTTATACTCTGATCTAAAAGCAAAGTTGCTGAGCGTCTATGTAAGTTTGCATTTAAATCCCCATCCAAGTTATTTCTGCATTTCTATTTCAAATTTATAAGGTTCGGGCTGAATATAGACAGTTAATGTCAATTTCTATGCATGTATAAAGGGATAGAGTTGCAAACATTTTCCATTTTCACCAATTTATCACAGTTAATATTGTATTATCACAGACAGATTGCACGTAATTGCCAGCTTGACCCTGTTCAACTGAAAACTGATCGCAGACTGACTCCATACTCATACACCAAAATTGCTTTGAAGACAGCAGCTGACTAACAAGTGGCTCAAACCTGGTCCTGGGTTTCAAACCAATCATTTCCAAGGTAACAAGGTCACAAGTTCATCACACATAATCTTTGGTTGCATCTCCAACCACTGTTTAGTGTCACTATTAGCATAAAAAAAGCATCAGACGTCCAGATTTTCTTCTTCTTTTTTTTTTGAACCATCCCACACACACTCTTCCTCCTTCAACAATCTAAATACACGAACCCCAAGGATGTATTCTCGTGCCATCTCAAACTTCAACCTCACATCATCTACAATGCAACTCAACTTAATCAGAGAATCAGGTGTGTTATATTGTTAGTCCAATATGTAGATATGGGTAAAGTTCCCTTCTCTATAACACTACACCACCGAAACCTCTTTTCACTCTCATTTTTACTTTTCAGATCTAACAGACATCTATGCAAACTGACATCACTGTATGTGATTCATCAGATTTTGGACAGCTGCATTTGTCTGAAGGTTTTATTTAACTCTTTCCTGACTGGAAAGAGTTAAAGAGCTTCAAAGCTCCAAATCTTTGTCTTTATTGCAAGCAAACAAGAGAAAATGAGGTTTTTAAAGACGTAACAGCAATGAAAATGTAAATGTTTTACAAGTTGAAAGGCAGTGTTTCTCATAGCTTACCCAGAAACTGGTCCATTTCCTGTCCTTTCGTTTGACTGCTGGTCCAACTCTGAGAGCAACTTCAATATGTTCAGTGCAGCCTAAAAAAATAAGCAACAGTATGCGTTATCTGAGCTGTAACCTGAAAAGTATGAGTCTTGGAAGTCTTACTGTCTTGGAAGAAGCAACAAAAAGGAATGGGAGTGCATGAAGCAGCTGGCTTATACAGCCCCTATTTTGGAAACGGCTGGCCTAAAGCCTTTGTAATGTGTCATCATGACATTAACAGCAATCGTGTGCCTTTTGGTCACACTTGCACGACTCCACACAAGATTTATTCCAAATCCTCTTCATGGAAAGTTGCTGGGATAAAGTTAGGAATTATTAAACGTGTTTTTCCGTTAGTAGCAAGGGCTCGGGACTTGCACACTGAGAAAGAAACCCGTATTACCTTTGAAAGCTCCCTCTTCCACTCTCACGAAATAAATATTTAACAAATGATTATTATACATCAACAGCTGACTATACCCCCCATCACTGAAAATATATTTCCCTCATCACTATTGTGGCTCACTCACAAAGGGCGTCAATGAGTGTTAAATCTGTAGTTTCTGAAATAAATACTCACCATATCATGACAGGATTCTACATCTTTCCCAATCCCATGACTGATGAGCGGTGGCTGGGAGGAGCAGTTAATCAGTGACACAAACTCATTCTTATTGTTTTTGGGAAAATCCTTGTATTCCACCTGCAAGCAGATGATACATTTTAAATTATTTATACTAATTTGTACCATAAAAAACAATTTATACAATTCAAACTGAATAATTAAGCTCATGAAAGTCAAACCCATTGTTTACCTGTAGGCCCTGCACAGATGCCAGATAGCCGAGCTGTTCCGAGGGCCTGGTTAGGGGGCCGTGGGGCAGTTGATTCATGTTATTTTTAGTCTTCAGGATAGTCTCTGCAGTCAGTGATGTCCCAGCATAAAGCAGCTCGTTAGCAATCATGGCAGTGATCGTGGTCTTGCCTGGGTTGGGTATACTTCGACTGTAGTCCTTGGCCTGGGATCCTTGGCAGGCCCCAACTGCTTGTGCCACCTCAGGCATCATGGGCAGGATCCCTGCAGGCAGCTGCTGGTGGCTCAGGTAAGGCAGGCGGAAGTCCTCCTCCTTGGAACCTTTTGAACAAAAGGCTCCAAGGTTAATGATTTTCTTCATGATTGTTAAACTTTTTTTATTTTCCCATCAAGTCTTACCCAGTGTCCCCTCCTCTACAGAACCAGGTTCGTAGAAGGTCACTTTGCGCCCATCACCTGGCTTTTTCACTGGGGTCTAAATATAACAACAATTTTACTATATAAATATAATATAAACATTGGCCACCTAACTTATTTATGAGACTTTCCTGAGAAGGTCTAAGCAGTACCTTTTCATCAGTTTTGAGTGCCGGTTTTGGGGGTTGAGGCTGAGGCACTTTATACCCCAAGAGCTCCAGCATTTTCTCTGCTGCGTTCCTCTTGGCCACCTTCTTGCTGGGTCCCATTCCCTCTGCAGACTGCCCACACACAGTAACCTGGACCAGAATAAACAGATGGAAAAGATGAACGAAATGAGAAATTAACAAGCGGAGACAGAGGAAAGCAGAGACAGATGTTGCATAAGTGCTGCTGCCAGCATGCCTCGGCTGCAGCTGACTCACCTGCATGACAAACTCCCTGCGCCGTGGCAGCCCTCTCTCTGTCACCATGCTATACTCCGGCTCCTTCTCCTTCTTGGCCTGCTGGATCTGAGCCAAGCGGCTGATGGGATTCATTCCCTGTCCATATTCTGGACTGGTCTGCAGCTGTTGGCACGACAGGTTAATGATTGCTTAAGGAAGCCGTTAGGTGTGTAATCACTATCCCAACTCTAGTATAAAACTTGCAAAACTACCTTGATGATAGATTTGGTTTTCTTTTTGATGCGGGGCTGCGTCTTTTCTACACTGGGTATATGGGGTAGTCTCTTCAACTCTCCCAGCACCGCTGCTGCTGCTAGCTTCTTTGCAATCTTTTTACTTTTTCCCTCGCCCTCTCCTGTGAACTCGCCAACTGTAACACGCACTACAAAAGTCTTCATGTGTGGAGGGCCCTCTTCTTTTAAAACCTGGAAAGCAAAAGTGGAAACACCTGATGTAGGGGAGCATTTATTCTATTAAACTCAATAGATTATGGGCAGAAGGAACATGCAGTGGTGTACAAATTGATGGATGACATAAATCCCCCCCTAAATGATAAATAAAATCCATTTAAACCTCAAAGCTGACAGGTAAGTTGCGTTTAAGTGCAATTTCAAAGACTTGACTGATTTCTGATTTGTTCAGGTTCTCCTCCTCGGGCTCTCCATTCACCTGTCAAAAAAGAGGACATGTTTTAAAAAAAACAAACAACAACGACAAAAAAACCCCCAGAAGCAATAAATATCACAGATGCCGAGTGTGGGCTTCTTTCCTCACCACTGGCAACTGTTGCAGTATTGGCTCCTTCTGCAGTACTTTCAAGGCCTTGGCAGCAGCATCGTGTTTGGCTAACTGCCGCGTTCGTCCTTTCCCAAAAAACTGCTGGCCTCCAATAGAAAGCTCCACATGATATAACATTGGTCCCACAGGAGGAAATGGGTAGTAGTACCTGGATGACAATTGAAGTTAAATACAACCCATTTCCCCCCATTTCCTCAAAAAAAGAGAGAGAGACAATAAGATTTCTGCTCAGATTTCTAAATGATGCAAACTCACTGTTGCATAGAGCGCTGGTAAGGCCCTGGAGCCCGCACATTATAGTTGAAGTTTGGTGGTCTCATCCCCGTATATGCGTCGATGGGTTTATAGAGAGGCTTTTTACCAAGTTTGATGCATAGTGCACTCAGCTCTGTAATATGCGTCATGCCATCTGCTTTGAGATAAACAAAAAAAAAAAAACCAAAAATGAATTCAATGCTTCTATTTTACAAGGTGTTAGCAACAATTAGAAAAGAGAATACAATAAAACCAGTGGAAGAGCGTACCTTGGTGCTTTCCTGTGCTGCGGGGTGTCCTCACAGTGGGTTTAGGGAGTGTAGTCTCAGCGAGGGCTGATGCAGCAGCGGAATGCTGAGCTTTCTTGATACTGGTCCCCTCTGCCTCCCAATGCTGATCTCCCAGCGTGAGCCTCACTGAGAAAATCTAAAATTGATTCTCCATCATTAGCATAAAGTTGCAGCAGAACAGGACAACAGTAAAAATAAAATGATGTGAGCAACTCGTACCTTTGAGTGAGCTGGCCCTTGCTCACAAAGCAGCTTATATTCAGGTTGAATCTTGTTAAAACGGGCTAACTCATTCACCAAACACATAGGGGTCTTCTCTTTAGGGTTTGCCATGTTAGATACTGTTTATGGAAAAGAAAGAGCCAAAATTCTCTTTATAACTATCTACAGGAACCATCATAAAGTCTCACAATCTAATACACATACTATCTGGCAAAAGCATTCCAGGTTCTAACAATTTTTTTAAACAAAACATTGCAATAAAAGGGGTGTGAGATGCATAATGTGATCATAAAAACTAAACAATAAATCCCAAACTAATTAATTTAAATGCCATCACCGATAAGCAAGCTTTTTGACCAAACAAAATCAGAAAACCTACCTGTGGTGCTATTGTAGGGAGTGGCTGACCCTGCGGGGAGAGCGGAGCTCCTGATGGGCTGGCTGGCGCTCTCTGACGGTAGGGTGCCTGAGGCACAAGGGATGCTGTAGCTAGGCTGTGGCTGCAGGGGGGCAGAAGCAGCGGGCATGGGGCTAGCTGGACACTGAAACTGGAGCTGAGACATCCTCGCTGCTATAGCTAAGTTAACAGTAAGATGAGGTCAAGAATATAAATTTACAGTGGGGGAGGACTGCTGATTGAGGTGATCTGAATGTAGGGTCTACCTGGAAAAAGAGGACATAAGTTTTCAAATAATAAATAACTAGAATATAAGAAAATCTTCATTTTGAAAAAATAAAGCAGCATCAAAACCTTCACAAGAGCAGAAATCCTAGAAGTCAAAGATAAAAGGTGTCAATTGCAGGACTGTTAAACAAAGACTTAAACACCTGAACAATTTACTTACAAGTGCAACAAAAACAGACAAGGGAACCAAGAGTAGCACCGTCCAGCAGTCAATCAGCACTGCTGTACACTAAGCTTAAGTCAACCTAATATTATCAGCTACACTAAAAAAGTAAACAGCACTATGTGAATTTACTATTTATTTTTCTGCATTTTGCAGTTGCCAAAAACAAAATGTTCTTTCTAGCACATTCAATCAGTCAGGAATGCAATGAAGAAAGCCTGGCTTTTTTACAAAACAATTTTTCTTTTTCTTCAAGATGTAGAAGAATGTGTTTTCTTTTGATTCAAACTAATGTTTCAATACAGTCCACAGATCTCAAATGTAATGGTAGTGGATTCCATAGTTTGAAGCTGCAACTTTGAAAGCACAGTCTCTCTTTTTTAAGTCTGGCAATAGGTGTCGAGCAGAAAGACTTGAATTATCTGCACGTTATATAAGGACGAAAGAGTTCACGAATGTAAGCAGGCATTTGATAATGCACATCTCTGAAAGTGATCGCCAAGATTAAAAAAGCAGGATCGCACAAGACTATTAATACTTCCTCCATAAAGACATCATTTGAAAACTTTCCCTGTACCATTAATGACAAGTTTTGAATCTCTGTATATATCAATGAAGATGTGATCTTGGGGCCTTAAGAATAGTTTCGGTAGCTGCCCAGGTAGAGACCACCCGCACCGACTTCTGCCAAACACGCACAGTCATTTTGTTCCATAAGTACACCTGAAATATGACACAAACTGCTCAGTTCAGAAGAGCTTCAATGGTTACTTCCAGTAATAACTAAAATGTAATCAGCAGCCATGCAGTGCTTTGTGGCATCATTAAAGTCATGAAGGATAGATATTTTTGGAACATTGTGAGGTGAAGAAAAAGAAATTTACAATTGGATATCATCTGCATAACAATATGAAACCCATTTAAGGTGGTTTAAGGGTATAAATACATTTCATTGTAAGTAACAGACATTTGACAGCATAGCATGAAAAAAAAAAATCACTCTGGTAGTTAAATACAAATTTTGTGTTCATTTGAGCACTACAGACAATTTGCCAATTTAAAGAAAAGCAGGTCAGAAACAGTAATATGTGTTGGGTCCCAGCACAGGTCACCCAGTTTGTCTATATTGGGGAGATAACTTTATCAATCAGCCTATAAGAACAGTGTTGTGCCCAAAACGGATTAACAGCCTTTGCCAAAAAGCGATTGGCTGTATTTAAACTGCTAAAAATAACTTGTTGGCCTATACTGTGTAAAACATGTGTCAAATGTATCCCTCATGAATGATATCAAGTTATCTTGAGCCACAAACAACATTCCTATCACATGATAGAATCAGTTTATGGCTATTATATATCCATTTTTAACAAGTTAAAAAGTTTCATTGACAAAACAAAAATGGCTTTTTAAGAGTAATCTGGCCAAGAGGACACCAGAAACTGCAAGAAACATAAAAATAGTTATTTAAAGGTATTTTAAATGGCCAAAAAGGACTGAAAACATGGGAAACAAAAACGCATGGAATCACTGGAAATCACTTTTTGGCACAAAAAGTGATAATCTGCCAAGTGACCAAGGGAACACCGTAGTCATATAGTGCCTATAATAATACAGCACAGTAATGTTTATTAACAGCATTTTCGCTGCCTTGATCTCACAGTAAGGATGCTGCTGATAAAAACTCAAATCACTTTTTGTTCTCATTCAAACCACAGCTGGGAGGGTCCGTGCTGTCAAAGGGGCCCTGGGAGCCTTCACTAACTGTGATAGAGCAGAACCACCATTTACATGCAACGACTGTAACCTGCACCTCATGCCAAGCATGGTTAAATACAAAAATAATACTAATAATAACTAATTTGTTTAAGAAAAAATGTTTACCATTAGCTCGACTTACAACACGAAAAACTGAGGCTAGGTGGTTAGCTGATACAGCCGCTTGCAAACAACCACGATTACTGTCTGGTAGGCTTTCTGGATCTGTATATTCGTCAATGATTTGACTAGCTGTCAGCAGCACAAGCTACTGGCAGCTAATTCCTAATTAAAATCAGGCCGCCGGGTGGATGTACAAGCTTTACAGGGGAAACATGCTCGCTAACTAGCATATTCGCTACGAAAGGCAGGGGTGGACATGATAGGACAATCTTTGCAAAAAACAAGACTCGTTACTGAACAGGTGCTGAGAACAGCAAGACAACGCCCACAACTCACTGACAACAGCACTTGACATTTGTTTATTAAATTAATACATCAGAAAAAAAGGGGAGGAAACAAACATCTTGTGTTTAATTCAAAGCGAGTCTGGGAGCACCCGGTGTCAACGCTAGCTAGCTAACGCCGACAGTCTGAGCACAAAGTAAAGCTCACCTCGTCGCTCCTTCTGTGCGGTTTTTAGTTACTCCATATGACACGCTGATTTACGGTCGTTTGCTTTTGTTAATGGCCAGTTTGGAGAATCACAGTGCGTTATTTTGATATCGAAATGCGAGCGGTGAGGAGGTGGACATTGGGAAGACAGGGCAAACACTAAAGAGAATGGCACTATCTCGCTTCACTCTGCAGGAAGTGACATCGACTAGGAGGAAGTACTTCCACGATCTCAAATATTATCATTCAGGATTGTGAAGCACAAAGGAGTAAAACACAAACACGTTATGAGGGTAATCACATTAAAAAAAAAACACCATCAACAACAAAAAGAGGACGCAGGCTATTTGGGGTATTGACAAATTTATTTGCACCAATAAGCCAAAAATCACAGGTTTAGCAGAACTATTCATCCAAATGGTATAAAAAAAATGAAATGCAGCACACAATTAACTGTTAGCTAATAAATATAAAATTGCTCATGATTCACTATAAAATATTGCTTCTAGGGTCTACAAGCTAAACTCTGTGACTTGAGGATAAGAGCAGTGACTGAGCAGAGTGGTCTGTAAGTTCAACAGGTTACAGGTTGTGAGCCTGACAGATGTTCAGAGAGTCTCTTAACATCAGGTCACGCAGACGCCACAGTGCATCCACCATGGTGGTGTGGGCTCCTTTGCTCTTCAGCCAGTGAGCTGGCAGCCGACTCTCTTGTTCTTTGGTCAGGTGAGAATCTCGCCTTTGCGCTGTTAATGGAAACGCATATTTCGCCTTAAGTGTGATTATTCAAAAGGCAAATAATGTTCACTATTGCCTTTGAAAGCAAACAAAAACAAAGATATGCACACACTCAAACTGGTAAACATGCTGGGAAATGACAATTTGGGTTTAATGCAAAAATTAAGGCAACACAGTCAACATTTTAGAAATATATTCCTATCATGTAAGGCCAGCATCACATATGGGGAAAAAAGTATTGTGTAAGCTCCTGCTTGAATGCCTCAGAGCTAATTAGGCTGATTGGAAGGAGGTCAGCAACATGACTGGCTCTTAAATAAGCTCCCCATAGAGGTCAAATCTTTGAAAGGTGGAACAATTCATAATATCATCAATGTAAAATGTATTTTAAAAAAAAGGATTTGTGGATTTCATCATCTACAGTGCATCAGAAGCTATCATTTAGCTATTTCCCCTAAATGTACCCATGAAAGGGTTGATACTGGTAGCATGTAATCATTTACAATTACTGATAAGCAGAAATATCACTTATCAGTAAATAGCACTGGAGAGTAGCTGATTTTTTTTTCTTGGTTGAAAGAACTTTATAAAAGTTATACTATAGTAAAAATATGAATAGGTTAAACATACAATACAAAATGAAAGCATTTGTATGAGAGTATTAACATATTAAAAGTGTGCCATTTAAGTGTGTTGTTCAATAAGACAGGAAAAAAAAACTGCTTGGTTAATTAAATGTTGCCCATTTGAACCCATATGAAGGAAAGCTGGCAGCAATGTAGGACTGAGAGAAGTTACCATACTTATAATCACAACTCTTCTCATTAAGACATGACTGAGTCTGATAATTATAATTGAACTTTTCATTTAAAATATTGTTTTTACTGCGTGTCTTTCCCCACTCTCTCTCCCCTCTTGATTTCATACATGTTGACCTCTAATCAGGAACCTAACCTAAGTTACCATGGTGCTCTACCCCGGTAGGAGGTGATCCACCTTCGTTGCACTGAAAACCCAGTGTCAACCCTCAAGTTTCTCAGACAAGCCGAAATCCTGCTTTGTATTACAGGAATCTGGTCCTCTCAGTTTTCCAACCTCTTACAGAGGGGTGTTATTATGTTGCTTTAATTTTTGTGACAATGACTTAGACATAATTTTAACATAAGAAAAAAAAAAACTTCAGAGCAAAATGCAGTCTTTACAGTTGTTGCAATAACTCTTCAGAGCTTAAAAATACAAAAATGTTAAAAGGACAAAGCAACTGGAAAAAAAAAAAAAGCAGTGATGGAGAGTTTTCTAGAAATAAAAGTAAAAACAAAGAACCTACCTTTGAGTGCTTGGTCCCACTTGCTAACAGTGCTGGAGTCTGAATTTAAGCCCTCTATGTACTTCAGGTAGGCCTCTGAGTGAAGCACTCTCTGAGTCTTTGGTGGTGGAGCCACAAACATGGGAGTGGTGGGCTGCAAATGTGAGGGTTGGCCTAACTGTCCTTGTCCAGGGTAGGGTGGAGGAGCATGCTGTCCTGGGCTAAACATCCCAGGCTAAGGTCACACAATGACAATATTTTGTTAGTATGTAGATGATACATAGAATGCATAATTTAAATTATCATTATGATTATCATTATTTGCAAAAAAAAAAAAAAAAAAGGCCTATATATACACTTGCTAGTAAAACTGAAGCAGGTGATGTCTGATTATGCAGGAAACAAAACAAAATCCATATTTTCTTGAACAGTTAAAAACACCAATATAAACTATATAGAAATATGAAATAACACCTATACAGCCAGGGTTTTTCTGCACTCAGGCTCACCTGCTGAATAAAGTTTCCTTGTGCAGGACTTCCCGCCATGCCATTCATACCAGTGCCCATCATCCCTGTTGTAAATGAAAATATTTAGCTTGTGTGCATTTTGTAACTGTGGTAAACTCTTGTTTTTGTTCATTTTATGTTAAGCTTTATAATGACTCATGGAAATGTTAGTTTTTTAACTACCAGTTGAACGTTAGTGGTTTGGTATCAGTTTTGCATGCATTCCATGTGTGAATTTCATATATTTGTTTGTATATTTTAAGTGTGAAATGTGAGAGCACTTTAGAAGAGACTGCTTTGGCTGCTCAGTGTGTAGATCAGGCTTTGCAGCCTGTGGACCAGGTAAACCCCCTCCAGCAGGAGAGACACGACTGGATGTGACTGAGCAGGTGCGGCTAGGACAGTGGCCCTTACCCTGATGAGGCATGCCAGGGTACCCGGGCATACCTTGCTGGAGATGGTGAGGAGGCAGGTGAGGACCCCCTGTAGGGTGAGGTGGCATTGGGGCCACACTCAGCAAACCCTCATGGGGGCCCTGCATTGGCATGTAAGGTGGACCGTAAGCTCCCATCATGCCTTTGGGAAAAGTGTGAGGAGAGGACAACATATCCATGCATAAGTGACATGCAGCTGACACCAAAATAACATGCACTACTACTGCACACAGTGGCCCCTTTCACACAAGTACCTTAAACCACAAGGGCTGTTAATTTAAAAGTTTTCGCATGTCTACAGACTTTCTACCATTCATGCAACTACATTTTTTCCTCATTTGTGAGCTCTGAACGGCAAAGATGACCGTATGGGAGATAAAATTCCACCACTGTGTGAAATGTTGTTGTTAGCATGGGAATTCCTGAGATAAGATCACAGTGACCTTAGACCACTGAAATCTAGTCAGCTCATTCTTGCACTGATTACATTTCCAAAAAAAGAAATGTTGGCCTCCAGCCACACATGGTCATCGGCAAAGATAAATAGACACAGTTGATGGTTGATATTGAAGGTTTCATGTGAAAGGGGCAGACAATACATATGGGTTTGAGAATGTTAGCAAAACAAGCATGAATGGGAAATGAAATATTAACAAAAGGCATTCATAGTTAAAAAAATAATATTCATGCAATTCATGTCATGCAATATAAAATATGAAGGTTGATGACAAAACTACAAACAAATAGCAGCAAATAAAGAGGAAAAACTGCAATAACAACATCGTTTTGAGATAAACTTCTTTTCAAGTGTTAGAAAATTACAGGATTACTGTCTTTAATTCAGTCCAGCCTCATTTTTCCTGCTGTCAAACACTCGTGCTGTCTCTGAGAGGGGTTACCTGACACAGGTGTCATGGTCTGGTTTATCATTCCCATAGTGCTAGGCGAAGGTACCACCCCCATCAGTGCCCCTACAGGGGTACCTGCTCTTGGGGAAGCTTGCTTCTGAGGTGGCCTCTCACGCTCTTGCTGTTCCACTATTTTGGCTGCACGCTCTGAAACATCCAAAGATGTGATTTTATTTTTTTTTTGTTTTGCTAGCACAAGTTCAAATAGATTCATATTTGTATTCATTTAATTATTTTATCTGACCTTCATACTCTGCCTTCTTGGAAGCTTCGAGGTTCCTCCACTCGGTGCCTACCAGTCGACTCAGCTCCCCGAAGGAAAAGTCTGGGTGACGAGCTTTTATCACTGCTCTCATTTCACTGCTGAAGAGGATATAACCACTCATGTTGATCTTTCTCTTGGCCCCTTCCTTCTTTGACAAGCCTTTAACCTTAGGAGTGGTCTAAATGGAAAAGCAAAGACACAAGTTTATATATAAAAAAAAAAACATCAACATTTTCAAACAAGGAACAGATGGTTTAAAAAAATTAGACCTGCGAGGGTGTGTATGGCATGACATCCATGTCGTTTGTAAGTGGGGTTTGCATCTGAGGCAAAGAAGGTGTCTCTGGAGCTTCCTCATCCTCATCCATGTCTTCCATGTCATCATCTGCATCCTCCATATCTGCCAGTTTAACCTCAAGCTCATCTATCTTCTTGTCCAAAATTGGTGATGCTTCCTTCTGTGGCACTATTAATTTTCTACATGGAATAAAATAAGCAGACATCATAGCACCTCAGTGCTAATCGTTAAATTTAAATCAGAATCATAGAGAGCATAAAAGATGGCTGTGGCTTCAGGTCTGAAAAGAGAAGCCCATGTGCCTCAAAGCTAACGTTCTACTCAATTCCCAGCAGGGGGCAACTTCACCAGTGCAGTTTCAGTTCATCCTGAGTAAAACATAAAGTCCATTATGATCGTTATTCATGTCAGAAACGAGAATCAGCCAATGAGATCAGATCCGCCCCTCACTCATCAGCTCCAGTTTTACAAGAACAGCTTTACTGAATGGGGCAAAATAGAGTAAGTTCAATCCCCACACAGTGCTCAGAGGTTTGGTTAGTTTTAAAGTTGATCCAAAAGGTTGGACTGTTTTTTAAATACAGGTGTAGTCAGTTAATTTCAATATCAAGCACAAAAAAAAGCTTATTGGCAACTTCCCGTTGGCTACATCCATCCTTTATACCATCTATGATCCTAATAAGTGCTCTGTTTAACCAACAGACCTGAAGTAGTAGATTTCATCCTCAACCACTTTGGAAGAGTACGAGAAGCGTTTCAGACCCTTGAACTTTTTCATCATCTTCTCACTGTCAATGTAACGGCTCTCGCACAGCAGTACATCGTCTTCTGAAAGCTCGGTGGGTCTGCATGACAGGTAGTCCTTAAAGGAAGACACTACACATTTGCCTGGAGAGCAGACAGGCAGAATAAAAGATTAGAAAAGACTGCTGATGAAAAACTTGTTCTGAGGTGACTCAAATGTAGAAAATTATAGCTTTAATGTTCATTTAAACATTAATACACGAAATGGCCTTCTGGGAAATGCACTTTTGTCTGTCTTATCTAAACCTATTTCTCAAGTCTATGAGGTTGCCATTTAACCAATTTGTTTTCTGCTAGAAAAACAAAATTATTTTTTTCTTTAGTGCACAATTCATTTAAATGCATTACACGAGGAGTAAATGAGCTGACTCAAGAAATCTTTGGTAAGTTTTCAAAATCATACCTATGACACAAGTCATGGGCAGCGTCTCCTCCAAATGACTCAGAAACACCTCCCTCTTGTAAAACATCTTCGTGGGCTCATGCTCCGTTTCCTCAGGGTGAATGAAGATGGGTCCAAAGAAGAATGTAGTTCCATTCTGTAGCCACAGCTTCTCTATCCTATAGCCCAGCACAGGAAGTCATGTTACTAACAGCTAATAACTCCATCTTATCTAAACACCCCCAATCAACACATCAGGCCCTATTTCAAAAAGTGTCAATGTAGCATAATATATGTCAACCAACCTGGCAACCCTAGGTTTTGATAATCCATGAGACTGAATGTAAACACAGTCTCCCACTTTAAACCACATGTTTTTGTAGCATAACTGTTCATAGTACTGGCAGCCGGGCTCAGCTCCACTCATCTCCGTAGGGACATCCTCTCTCTCCTAAATGAACACAGACAGAGGATTCAGGTGTTTATTATATAGAAAAACAATCAACAGGCTCCTTATCAGTGTGCTAATAGTTTATGAGTTAATGCTTTCCAATTAACGCCAACTGGCGTCACCTTACCTTCTCTACAAAGCCATTGACTGTATATGCCACCGGTTTTTCCTGGTCAGGCTTCACAAACATTGAGGCTACACGAACAACAGGAAGAGGCGACTCCCGAGGGACTAATTTAAAGGAACTCTCCGGCATGGCCCAAATCTTGATCTTTTTGAAAAACTTGTTCCTGGCAGTGTAGCGGGATTCACACACATAAACGTCCTCAGGTCTGAAGCCCTCGGGTTGCATTTTGAAATAATCCTACAGAAAGATTCGTAATTAGACAATGGACTTTTGGCGGCTTAAATTAAACCATTTTCAATATGTGGTTCACTTTCTCACCTTCACAAAAATGACCACACATTTGCCCAAAACCTTACTGATGGACACTTTGTTGTAGTAGTCACTCTTGAAGACTTCTTTTTCCAGAAACTTGCGTGTGGCCAAGTGAAAGGTTTCACTGGGTCTGTAGAACCAGCAGCCATAGAGCCACTTCTCACCTGCATATATAAAACACAATCTGTTTTTAGCAAAATATACTGACTAAATGGAAACAAAATCAAGATGTTGAATCAGCTAACTTGCAGAAACAGAAATATTTAAAATCATGATGTAATTCTATAATTCTTCCTATAATTTTCAAGTTAGGCTACCTGCTTCATCCTCCCAAAGACGTTCTATACAGACAATGTGGGGCTGGAGGTTTGGTTCTGACGGCTCCACATAGACGAAGTCCCCCACGTGGTAGGTACTGTTTTCAAATCTGCAGTCTTGACTGTACACATGCTCTGGCTTTGACTGCCACGCCTCTCCCGCCAGGTCCTCGGGCTTCTCGTCTTCTTAAGGTGAGAAACATGTCATGATTCAATGCCACAACCACATTTAATATTCTTCACACCTCCTGCATGTCTTCTATAAGTTTACACACCTTGGTTTTCATCCTCATCCTTCTTTTGTTTGTCCTCTTCAATCTCTTTGGGAATTTTCTCCCTCTTTTCCTGGTCTACGTCACTGTGGAGGTGTTTTAACGTGTAGTTGAGTGCAACGGACAGTAAAATCTCGCCATTCTTGCACAGCTCATCCCTGATTTTGATGAAAAACTGTTGTAGCTCCACTGCATCCTCAAATATCTCAGAGTCAGTCCTGCCAACGTGAAAAACATTCATCATAAGAAAACACGGGCACACATTTGAGTTGTATCACCTAGTGTAGCAAAGCAAGTAAAAACAGGACTCATTTATTAGGAAGAGCCACATATTTAACAATAAACATTGATTTGCTTACAATAAAACTGATTACATTTAATGCATATACATTTTTTTAAATTTCAGTTTCAAAGTAAATATGTACCAGTATATGCACCATATCACTAATTTCTCCTGAAGAGCAGCACACAAACAAAATGTTTGATCTTTACAAAATGGAAAATATAACATGGGCAATGTTTCAAGGTAAAAATGTTCTAACCACTTAGCATTGTCAGACATTTATTTATGTTGTGAACACCCATTTTCATTTGCCATTTCTCTGGTTTTTGAAGCCTTGGTGAACCGCTCAAAGCAAATGCACTTTACTTTAATGGATAAACAATTAAAGAAAAAAAAAAAAATAATATAATAATTTTCCATACCTGTGTAACCTTCTTGCCTTCTCTAGCACTTCAAACGTGTGTTCCTGGAAGACATCGAGTCTCCTGTAGCGACCGCGCTCCACATTCATTCTGATGACATCAAAATTAAGCGGCGGCTTTTCAGGAGCAGCTGGATCAACAGCAGGAATCTCAGCCAGTGAGTCACTATAGCAGCGACCCTCTTCATCCTGGTGACCCATCACGGATACAAACAGGTTCCTGATCAGTTCTCGCACCAGAAGACCCACAGCTGGAGGGCCAAACTCCTCCCCTCCCTCTTGCTGTTTCCGTGTCTCCAACAACACTCGGTGCAACACTAAAGCATCCCGATAAATCAGAGACTCAGGCTCGTTGTATATGCAGGCATTATTGAACATCAAAGCAAAGTCCTCCACCAGGGCGTCGACATCTTGGTAACGGCCTGCAGCCATGTGGCTTCGCACACGTTCCATGTCGATTGGTCTCTTGATTGTAGCGTAGTAGTCAGGCAACTCGGCACGAGAGGGTAGACGGAGGAAGATTGTGCTTAGGCGCCGACCTCGGCGGTCAGTGAAGTTTCGCACAGCATCATACAGCTCATTTAACCTCTGCTGAAGAGGGGTGAGGTATTTGGACTTCTTTGGAGAAACACCACTCTTTCCTTATCATAAAAAATGTATGTTAGTTTTAAAAAGCTTTTAAAAAAGAAAAAAAAATGTGAAACAGAAGCTAAAAAGAGCCAGAAAACAAAAGAGCAATACAGCTCAAACTGTCCGAAATACTTAAAAATGCCTTTCTTGTTCTTTTTTTTTTAAGTTGATTTTTGAACATTTTTGCGCTATTAGATAGTCACAGCAGATACAGACAAGAAGCAGGAAAATAATATGCAGCTACAGTCCGACTGGCTGGGAAATGAAACAACTCGTTACTAATGGCATTTGTTCACATACTGTGCAAGTCCAACCACTAAGCCATGTAACTTTCCAGCCAACCCTGATTTCCACAGCTGCTGTTTTAAGCGAGACAGGCAGCGCTTTGGCTGATAATAATTTAAGAGGAACAACTATATAGTAGGTTACACCCCCCCCCCCAAAAAAAAAGTGCAAAGAAGTAGTTCAACAAATTAATTAATTTTTGAAAATTAAAGACTAACCAATTAGTGAAAAACGGGTCAAGGACACACAGACCTCAGTGTTATTACATGGTAATATTTTACAAGTGCAGAAGTATTTTCAACCAACATGCACAAGCATTCCCACTTACTTAGTTTCAGTTTGGGAGATCCCACATCCTCCTCCTCAGGTGGAGGACCCATCTCCTTGCGCTTATCTTTCAGTATCTTTTCCAAAATGTCAGCATCATTATATACCTACATAAACCAGAAATTGGGGAGTCAGAAGACTTAAAATCGTTATAAATTTGACTATAAGAAAAATTAAAGTTTTATCACAGAAGGAGTCAAAGTCCCAACCTGAGATCCCTCTTCGTTGTAATGCCGGGCATTGCGGAACATTAGCTTCATGTCTTCCATCAGAGCTTCCTCTGTGGCATAGCGCTCATTGCGAATGTTATGTTCAATTGTTTTCAGGTCCATCGGTTCAAGGATGACATTATAGTAGTCAGGGTAATCCTTCTTGGATGGTTTAACCATAAAGAGATCACACAGACGTCGATTTGTGCCTGCCTCCCTGGCCTCGGTCACGGCAGCATAAAAGGCTTTCATTCGGTTCTTTTTCACATTTTTTTTGTGGCTGGACAAAAATTAAAAATAGATAAAAGTATGACAACACTGAGACATTGAGAAAACATAAAAAAAATTATAAACGTTTGCAATTTTAATACTTTATATTTCAAAAGCATTAGTCTCAATAGAAATAATAATACCTTTTTCTCTTAACGCTCCCTGCATCAGAAGACAGAATGCTGTCCCCATCTTCGTCATCTCTCCTTAGAAGTTCCCTCTTTTTTGCCTACACAGAACAGGCAGATGGGTACATTGCCTTGCCTATTATTATCCATTATCTACAGTCTGCTTCAAATATTGTGCTTTTATAATGTGCTCTTTGACTTTTAAATGTACAGGTAAAACTGTTTTAAGCACAACCTGACAGAATGATTGACAAGGTGCTACCTGCATGATCTGCTGAAGCCTGAAAGCCCGTTTATAGATGCTTGAGTTAGGCATGTTGTAGCGCTTTGCATTCTCAAACATCAGATTGAGGTCAGCCTCAATTTGTTCCACGCTTTCATACTCGCCATTCTTCATCTTTGCCCTAAGAAGGAGAAAGAAAAAACTTTTTTTAAACTCCCCCCAGGAATGTAATTTGGTGGGAAAAGGGTTCATTTTTAAATACCATATGGTATGAATATCTGGTTCTTGCCTGATTTGCTGGAGAGAAGTGGGTTGTTTTATCTGCTGATAATAGTCGGGGTATTCCCTGCGAGAGGGCAGCTGCTGAAAGGGTTCAGAGAACATCTGGCCCTGGTTATTTCTGGCACCCCTCACAGCTTCGTACAGTTGGAAGATTGGGTTGCTCATCTCCATACTTGAACTCTGACTCTCAGCTTCTGACTCTCCCTCATCATAGCATACAGAACCTGCAAACATCGACAACACAAAGTGTTACTTTTTTCTGCACAGCCACAAAGTAAATTTGTCTGCTACATGAACTGATAAGAATTACCTGAGAGCACAGGATCGTCCTCACTCTCAGAGCCATACTGTAGAGCTACACTGACACCAGAAATTCGATCTCCCTGACCAGACCTGCGATTTCTAAATAGTAACACAAGATACACAATTCACCATATATATATCTTAAAGGTATGAGATTTTTCTGTTGGTATAACAAGCAGATTTGATTTGACACAAAGACAACGCTAAGAGCAATGTTATACTGTTGTTTAATACCTGATACGAAGACTAGATTTAGTAGGTTCTGCGTGCTCAAGCTCTGTCTTACGTTGGATGAAGACTTTCTTTATGGTGTTGGCGTCCTATAGAATAAAAGAGCAATTGTTAATATTCAGAGTATTAAAACTCATAAAGAAGAAAACTGAGAAAAGGACTTTTACCTTAAAAACCTGAGATCCTGGCTCATTGTAAGTTTTAGCATTTTTGGTCATCAGTTCAACATCCTTGGCCATAGCATTGACATTTTTATAGTATCCAATCTATGCAAATTAAATTACATTTTGATGGTTAGAAATGCAACACACTGAAGCTGTAAAATTAACAAATGGTTAAAGGTCAGGAAGCAAAATGACTACCTGTATTCTTTGAGCGATTGTTCTCAGATCTATCGGCTCCTTTATAATGGCATAGTAGTCTGGGTAATGCTAAAAAAGAAAGAACAATTCTATAACAGACTGGAGTTGGTACACAAAACCACAAACACAGGAAAACAACTGGACTTTACACTCCTAAAGTGCCTTGAATAAAAAACCTATATGTAAGAAAATCGCAAAGTGAAGCTTTGTTCAACCCGTCTTATATTATTATGCTTTGTGTGAAGAACAGTTAATCAATTTCAAGTGCAACTTACCACTTTGGAAGGCAATTTCTGGAACAGTTCACTGACCAGACGCCCTGAGGGATCAGCATGTGAGACTATAGCCTCCAAAAGTTGCTCCAGCACTTCCTTCAAACTTCCAGCTGAAGTCTAAAAGACAAATATGTATAAATAAGTTCTGACCCCACACAGCGGTGCTATTTCTTCATAATACAAAGGCAATATCCTGAAACAGATTTTAATATTTTTAAATTCAATAAAGAAATATGAACCCTTTCTTATTACTGAGCTAATAACTGGCAATCATACACACAGGGCAACTCAGTCTTACATGTAATGAGGACTTACCTCCTCTTCAGTTGCCATTCCTGGGTTATCCATATCATCGCCATCTTCATCATCCTCATCTCTGTCTCCAGGTTGCACAAACTCATTCCTTGTTTGAAAATACACTTCCCAAAGCTTGCATGCAGCTTGATACTCCTCACTGTCCCTCTGAATCATTAAACATGAGGCAAAAAAAAAAAATCACATAAGGTTTACATTGGGAGATGCATACCTAAGTAAAAGGTTATATAATGAAGCCGAAGTAATAGTGTATTTATTATAACCTTAGAGGCTACCTGTAGGAATAAAGAAAGCACTGTCGTTCTCCAAAACCTACCTTGTAGAATGATCTGGCATTGTTGAACAGGAGCTGAAAATCTGCAGTAAGCTGCTCAACATCATTATAATCCTCAGACTTCAGTTTATACTGAATCTTCGTCATATCAATTGGCTGGGACACCACTTCATAATAATCAGGCTGATTCCTGAAAAAGAAAAAAAAACAGGCTAATTGAAACACTTTCACATTATCCAACATTATTGAGTATGTTCAATAAACATTATTCATTCATTTTACAAAAGTGTGAAAACATTTTTTTCCTGCATATTTGTCACATTTCACTACAATTTAATTTTAAAAAATAGGCATAATAACATAAACTAAATATATAATAATCAGAGTAAATACAAAATTCAGTTTTTACATGAAAATGTCATTTATTAGGGGAAAAAACTGTCCAAACCCATCTCTGGCCCTGTGCGTGAATCAAGAAATTATGGGGAGAAATTTGGCTCAAAAGGGTTGCAAATGCCAATCAAATAATCCACAAGCATAACTAATTCTTGCAAATGTGCACAACGAGTACAATGATCAGTATTTAGTCAGGTTTGAATGTATGAATGTGTAAAATTGTTTTACATGTGGTCAGAGTGCTTTGTATTTGTGTGTGGATTAAAACAAATGTTTGTGAGTCCTCAAACGCTACACACAAATCATTGTACACATTTGTAAATCTTAGTTTATGCTTGTGGATCATATTTTAGGCACTTTTGAGGTAAATTTCTCTCCATAAGTAGTCAATCAAACTGAACCAAAGTGAGTAGGAAAAGATGTCAAAAACCAACATTTCATGCCACAAACTAAACAAACAGATGAAAAACAAAGTCATTGACATCTATCAGTCTGAAAAGAGTTACAAAAGCATTTCTAAGGCTTTGATAATCTAGCAAACAACAGTGAGAGTCATTATCCACAAATGGCAAAAACTTGGAAGAGCATTGAACCTTCCTCGGAGTTGCTGGCCTACCAATATTACTTAGAGAAACAACTCATCCAGGAAGTCACAAGTTCATGATGAGTTCATGATTCAACAATAAAAAAAGAGACTACAAAAATGGCATCCATGGGAGAATTCCAAGGTGGAAACCATTGAACATAAAGGCTCACATTTACCAAAAAACATCTTGACAATCCCAGAGACGTTTGGGAACACTTGATTGCGTTTCCCACAGCTTGCAGCTAACCGTTGCTGCCAAGGGTGGCACAACCAGGTTTTAATTTTTTTTATTTTTTTTTTTACAATATTCAAAGTTAAATTTGTGTTTTAACAAAGGGTGACCAGTTATTTTTTTTCTAACCTTCTTCCCCATAATAAATTACATCTTCATTTTTTTATTTACCGGTACTCAGGCTTTCTTTACCTAATATTAAATATCAAACAATGTAATTGTGACAGATATTTAAAAAGAATAAAACAAAGGGGTAAATACTTTTTTCATAGCAACGCCCATTATTCCATATATTCGGTACACATTTTGTGTTTGTCTTTTGCAGCTTCTAAACATTACTATGTAGGTAAGCTTTAGCTTTTCTGCAAAGATTACCTTGACTCCTCTTCAGTATTGTAATATCAAACAGATACAGTACCTCCTCTTTGGCACCCTTTGGAAGACTTCACTAAGCTGCCTCCCTTGATCATCCTTGTAGTCTCTGATAGTGTTGAACAATTCATGGCATACAGCAATCTAAGAGGGAGGAAAAGCTTTTAAAACTCCAATATACGTTTACTATGGTTTCAAAGGCACGTACAGATCACATCGGCCTTGCTAAAGTCAGGTCATGTAAAATACACACACACACACACACACACACACACACGCATTTACCGTATCCACAGGAGGGACATTGGAGACTCTTTTTCTTTTTCTGCCACTTCCAGGAGTAGAGGAAGAGACATCATCGAGGTCTCCCCCTCCGCTCACACTGCTGGAGGGAGAAGTAGCTCGTCTCCGCTTGGAGCTCGCTGACATCGCTGGCTGGTTAAACAACAGGCTAGCCCACGGCTACAAAAACAGAGAAAAAATAATAACGCCACTGTAAATTTATTTTCAATCAACTTAGTATAAAGAGGACAGTCGGTTTTTTATTCATCTATAAAGTCTAAAATGGGAAGTAGTACTTAATCAGATAACGTTAGCGTCGCTTGGATGTATGAAACAAAGCAAACAAACGAGCGGCAGTTAGCATGCTATTGCAACACGAGTAAATTAAAAACGATAAAGTTCTCTCCCAATAAAATACGCGCAAGCTGGGGGAAAAATAACAAATAATTTAAATTTCAAAAACAAGTCTTACCAAAATCTCAGAAAAGTTAGCCGTAATTCCCTGAGCAAAAATGTTTAGCGGCTAACCGGCTAGCCAGTGTTGTTTGAAAACTCCTGCCCGGATGTTGAGGTTGTGTTTGGAAGGCAGAGGCAAAAGTGCCAACCGAGGCAGTGCTGACCCCTAGAGTCTATCTGTAATACTGCACCGTGTACTATATTCAACGAACATTTTTACACGAATATGATTCATTGATTGACTGATTTCTAGTTCACGCCGATTTAAATCACAAGCCATACATTTATATGAATCAACACTGAAATACTAAAAGAAATTTCATATGGATCAAGTGGTTTTTCATAGTGGAGCTTCTGGAAGCATTACATAACAAGAAGCACATTCATGGGAAACAATAACATTTAAAACAATCACAGAATTTATATTAAAAAAAATTGAATAAGAAATCACAATTGACCCAGGTGGGGGTACACCCCGGACAGGTCACCAATCTTTCACAGGGAGACAGACAACCATTTACACTTAGAATCATAAATTAACCTAACTCATGTCTTTGGACCGTGGGAGAAAGCCAGAGTACCCAGAAGCAACCCACGCAAACAGGCCCCAGCCAGTTAGGGATTCGAACTCAGGACTTTCTTGGTGTCAGGCAGCAATGGTATCCACACCACTTCTTTGTGTTTTGACCTAAAGATTTGGTCAGGTTGAACCTTTTTCATGACTTTTTTTTTTTTTTTGGGGAGTGGGGGGGGGGGGGGGGGGTGTCAGAGACTGCAAACCCACCCAGTTGTGTTTCATCACAAAGAAACTTGGCAAACAAAAAATTAAAGAAGATTAAAGAAATGCGCAGAAACAAAACCAGGCAATGTGGTGATTTATGTGGAGAGGACACCTCCACTCCAATCAAAGTCACCTGAATCACCAGAGTACAAACATCATAACATGGAGTGGTAATGAGAACTAATATCTCAGAAGTCCCAAGCCCAAGAAGCAGTGGACACAATGCATTCGGAGCTAGAACCATTGAGCAGAGTCTTCACCCTGTATGTTGTCCCTGTATTTTAACAAACATATGACATCAGCTACAGAGGGATCAAGCTGATGAGCCATCACTGTGGAGGACAGGAAGGGAAGAGTTGTTTAAACGCTAGGCTTAGGAAGGAGATGTTGATGATCAGCAAGCACTACACACACCACACAACACACACACACACACACAAACACAACACACACACTAACACAAACACACACACACACACACACACAACACACACACACACATATATATATATATATATATATGCTTGCTTATATGCTTCATGCTAAGAAAGAGCAATCCAATGTTTGCTTTGAGAGTGTTGATACAGAAGAATAGAGAACGTCAGAGGAGAGTCTTGATAGGTGGAGGTATCCTCTGGTGAGAAGAAGAATGAAAATCCATAGAAGAAAAACAGAAAATGCGTGTGATTAAGAAGGAGACAGGCTTAACAGTAAAGCTGTAAAAAGCAGATGTAGCGAAGGTAGATCATTTAAATACCTGGGGAGAATGATCCAAAGCAAAGGGCAGTCCACAAGAGAGGTGAAGAAGAGAGTACAAGTAGGTTGGAGTAGGTGAAGACAAGTCTCAGGGGTGATCTGTGACTGAAGGATAGCAACAAGAGTGAAAAGAAAGGTTTATATGTTTAATTGCAAAACCTGTTATGATGTTTGGTTTGGAGATGGTGGGATGTGAAAGAGCTAAAGATGCTAAGATTTTCATTAGGAGTAACCAGAGTGGACAAGCTTAAATATGAGAACACCAGAGGGACAGCTCGGGTTCAGACAAAGTTAGGGAGGGAAGGCTGAGATGTTTGGACATGTGCAGGGAAGGGAGAATGGATTTATGGGGTAAAGGTTGTTGAAGATGGAGCTGCCAGATTCATGGATGTAGTGAAGGAGGACATGAAGAGGGCTGGTGTGACAGAGGAGGATGTGGGGGATACAGTGAGATGGAGTCAGATAATCTGCTGTGGTGAAGAGCTGAAAGAAGAAGTGTAACATATGACAAATCACATCTATGGTTACTGTATCCACAAGAAACTGAAAAAAAAAACTGCACAAAAGTATAATGTAGTAGTTTGTTGTGAAAATTATAAATGGGAGTTAAAGAAGAGTTTTTTTGTTATGGTAATTATGATTACTAGAAGAAGTTGTGGTAATGGCATATTACTTGTACTTTAGCATCACTTTGTTTGAAAAGCACATTTAAACAAGTGCTTAAGACAAAAGAAAGGAAATAAAAAACACATAAAGGAACAGCACTCAGTGATGGTTTTTATAGTATTGGAGTAAGTGTTCAGACACTAGAGCTTTTTATGAGAGAGAATTTCACTTAGCTTTTCTGTGTTTTAAGGACATTTGTATTATAATGTATTGCGTTTGGATTTACAATATTGGCTATGCAGTACGCCCAACCAACATTTATTTACAATGATACACTGAGAAGGACAACTCCCTGCCTTTTCCCAGAAATGGCGGGCTGTGTGCTACCATCCCTGTGGAGCTTTTTCTCCCTGTGATGTTCCATGGAGACTGGTTGGTGGAGTTCTCCGTATACGTTTACCCAGAATATACATTTAGATACTCAGTGATTGTCTTCTTAGTATGTGGACAGTATCCTGCAAGTGGTGATAAAAATAAAGGAATAACAAGCACTGAATTACGACATAAATGTTAAACTAAAAAAGAAACAATAATCAAACTTCATTCAAGGGGGAACGATAAACTTTTAATGAGTGAGTGAGACATTTTATTTCTTCCAGGATCTTCTCACCTGCTTTTTGTTTGTCCACACCTTTGCATGTCACTTGGCTGCCAGGAAATGGTTTAAGTGTGAGAGTGCACAGAGCTGCAAAAGAAAGATGCTTGGTGCGGAAGGGAGATTTAATCCTCTGATAATTCATGCGTAAAATAATAATTCATCCTGGGGCCATTTTGCGTTTAAAATGTTTAGTCTGCTGTAGCTAAACCGGCTTCTCTGGCTGTGATTGATAATTTATTCAAACTGGGTTGTTACTTTCAAAAACTCTTGAAAATTTGCCTGAATCTAACTCGCACAGTGCTTAAGGAGGAGAATTATCTGCGCTATAGTATCGCCAAAAATAAAAACTCTTCAGCTGTAACAGACAGTCGCTCGACAGTCATAAGGTGAATCGCAGATCGCGTTGTTGAGGGAACAGATAGTGATTTTATGGTGCACTACGTCCATAGACGTCTGGCTTTCTTGACGTCAGGAGAAGTCGGAGCGGACCCAGCGCTGCGCACAAGCACAGCAAGCACACTCGCTCCCAGAGGGAAGAAGAACGCATCACAGCCACAGATCGCCATTTAGGTACGTTCCCTTTTCAGTTCAACATTCATTGCAGGCTTGTTTGCGTTGTGTTATTTTTATCTGTGAGACAAAGTGCCTTTGCTCCACTTCCTTGTCGCATGTCCGCAGCCTCCAGCTTAAACCTTAAGATGCTGTCTTGATTTGACTGCCGTACCCTTGAGCGCTGCAGTATGGTTCGCACACCCACATCGTCTATTCTTCCTGTAGTCTATGATAGTTGCATGTTCACCACGACCCACGAAAAACGAGCTCGCTGTGGCATTAGAAGCATATCGCATCGTTTTTAATTTCCATTCAAACTCCTTGCTTGCTTGCCATTCACGCCCTGCAGCCCTGCAGCCTCTATTGTCAAACCCTAATCACTGGAATAGCCTACACTTTCCACTTCAAAGATCTCCAAGGATTTGTATATTTGTAGATACTCATTCTTCAGAGAAACCCAATTGTTTCAAGCGAAGTGTTAAATATAGCACAGGTCCCCCAGCTAGTGTCTGCCTACAACCTACTGACCATGCGTTTGTTTTTGCCACGGTATATGGTCGCTTTCTTGTGACAGCCTCTGCTGCACTGTTTGCCCTACTTTATTAGTGGTTTTTAGAACTGGAGAACTGTCATTTTTAGTGGTTTGTGGTTTCTGTTTGTAAACTTGTCCTAGGTTTGTTGCTACAGGTTTGTTTTGTCGTGATCTATTTCTATTTCTTATCTCATTAATGTCTACATCTTAATAAGACATACCTTGGTCATCTAATTTGTCCTGTTTGATAAATTCAAACACAAGAACTGTTGTAATTTTGTATTTTGTCATCATGCGCTTACTTCCAGCTTTTTTTCTTGTCATTCAGTGCAGCACACCATATAACCAGAGTGTAATCTAAAACAATTAAAAAACACTGAATATTTTTGTTTAATTTTCAATATTAAACACTGTAGGAATGCACAGATTGTATACAAATTCCTAAACATGTATATCTCCACTTTGCATTTAAATCTTTGCAAACATAAAAGTAGAAGAGAAAAAGTGGATGTTTTTTCCTTAAGAATTAAAAAAAAAAGTCTTAGAATGTAACCAAGTCACTAATTCCCCGAATTGATCATTTAATTTGTTTCTCTATTGAAAATCAATGCAGTTGATCTGAACTTAATTGTGTATACTCTGAGTCTTTTCCTTGATTATTTTTTTCCACAGCTGTAGTGTGGCGTTTCCCATCAGCATTGTAGGATGCCTCTTGGAGAGGATGGAAATGGATGGAAAAAGAAGACATCAGACATCAAAGAACATTACGACTTCAAAGAAGTGCTGGGAACGTAAGTAGTACTTACTGTTTAGTTGACAGATTTCGATTCGATGGCTGACTGGCCGAAACTTGCAAAGGCACTTCCACACCTTTTGGGAATATTTGGATGTCACGCTCCTTTTTGCTGTGTCTGCATTACACCAATACTGCTGAAATCTCAGCAATGGGAATGCCTCTATAACACTATGGATAACTAGATACAAAAACAACCATGTATGTTTAGAATTTGAATTAAATTTCCCTTCATTATTGGAGAGTCTATCATCACAAAGATAAAACCCATACAAGTACTGGTAGGTTTGTAAAGTCTGAGACATCATATAGTGAAGCTGGCATTTGTTGTCCATGCGCATTGTAACTTATGAGTACTTGCAGGTGACAGAGTGCATACGCATGTTGCATGATTTAATGTGGTGAAAACAAAATAATGAGGATTAACACAGCCTGACATAGCCATTCTACCATATATTTCCA